TGAGAAAATGTCTCACTGTGAGCAAGTCAGTACAAATAAGACTTTTCTATTTCTCTGTGCACTTGCTTAACCCATATAGTCAGAAAACAGAACGCCAATAATAAAGTCTTAACCTCACTGACTGAAGAGGCCTCTCATCACAGTTTGAAGATGTCAGATTAATAAAATAGAATAAAAAATATTGTTTGGATACAAGTAGAACGTGCACCAAAAGCTCACATCCGTCATGTGAGAAACAGGAGTAAACAATAGAACTCAATTTGAACTTTGATATTTGCTCAAAGAGAAACGCTTCCATGTCGCAGTATAATTAATAAGAAGCTACATACATAGAGCTGAAATGCCAAGTGTAAATGTGAGATGGTAACAGACGGAGGCAGAGCTGCAGGCCAGATGTATGATTCTCCGGGTAGTTTAAAAGGGCTTAAGTGAAAAGTATCCCCCTAATTTCCCACAGTTCCCTGCTAGAGTGGGGTATTTGAAAGGTCAACGATGAGATTTGTGCTGCCACTCTTGCCCACTCACACCAGCGAAACAAGCCTTGGTAAAGCCTCTTGGAAGCTATTTTTTTTTCCAATTCTTTTTATCTTTCATTTTATTTTATTTTATTTTGCAAAATAACGCATGAACGACAAAACAAAAATATGTGGGGAGGTACATATTTTAAGGGATACAACAGGTAAAGTGTGTGTGTGTGTGTGTGTGTGCGGAACAGTACATTGTGCAACATTATAATCAATATGTAAACATACTTTTTATAGAATATAATACAAACAAATAAATAAAGAAAAAAAGACACATAATAAGCATAATATTGGATAAATAATGGTAAGTCTTCGCCTATAGGTATTGTTATGGAAATTCTGCAGTGACCAAGAGCTAAAATAATGTAAACAACCAAGAGCTACAATACAATCAAAGTGTGAGTTTATTCATCAGTAAATGGGCACATATACAATAAATAACAGAACCGATACTACCTGGCAGCCGTCTGAAATCGTCTGCCCCGAATGAGGAAATGACTGGACATTAAATAGACCAGAGTAAACAAACACATATCTACTCTAGATATTATATAAATTAAGTCAACATTGATACGTGTCTCTCAAGGCTTCTCTTTGTGCCTTTGTACGCTGATATAACACTGATACTTGTAATAATCTGCTTTTGACGTGAACATATCGTCCTATGACCCAGATGAGGTCAAAGACATGTTTCAGCCCGTCTCTATCTATCAGCTGACCTGGAAGACAACTGAATCCAGAGTTGACTATTAGTTAATAACTTACACTTGATGTTAATTCAGATTGCTTTACTAAAAGATTTCTATAACAGTAGATAAGACAAGGGATGAATTGTAGTTATAAGGAAATGCTTGTGGCTGTTTTTTTTTTTTCTAAACTACCACCAAATATAATAAAGATTGTTTGTTGTTCCTTTACTTTTTGAAGTTCATGGTAAAATATTTGACATTACTGGGCGTGGGCTTGCATCTCCGATTCAGATTCAGATTCAGTTTATTTGCCATTTGCAGTAAAAAAAACCACATTGGAATACATTAGCAAAAAGTCTCCAGTGTGCACAGACAAATACAGACATAAAACAACATTAAAAGACAGAAATAAAACTCTCCACAAACCTAGTTCAAATTTAGATGGATACATAAATAGATAGATGAGGGAATTGATACACTTCATGAGACTCTTCATGTTTGTTTCCATGGAATGTTGTTAAATTGGATTCTGTACCCTAAACAGAAGGATACAGTATGGGAGGTTGACTTCATTCATTTACCCTAAAAGTCAGACTCATTCTTTCCAGTGTAAAAAAACAGTGTGATTCAAAAATATATTCATAATTCATATTTGAAGAATACATTCATCTTCATCCTTTTTGTCCAATTTTGGGCAATCAGAGCTGCCACCCAGTTTTCATAGCACCAGTCTCTCACAATGGGGTTAAGTGCCTTGCCCACGGACACAACGACAGCTGATCAGTGGGAGTTGATGGATTAGGTCTGGAGGATGGAGTGAGGCTCAAAGACCAATCCTCTACCACCTGAGCCTCCATATCTGTAGAGTTCATTTACAAAATCAGATATTTCTCCTCTGAAAATGTGTCAGAAAGTCAAATGCCTCGAGCTACAATCTTCACCATGTTTTGTTGTTGGGAGTACATTTGGAAAAAAATTCTCAAGAAGCGGTGAAAGTATTTGTATGGCACTAAAATAAATCTGGCTTTTCTTAAAACGACTTGGTAAAGGGCACATTTTAACCTTTGATTTATTTTCCTAATCTGTTTTTGCTGTTTTATAGATAATTGCACTCCTGACTTAGATTTTCTATTTAGAGTACCAAAGAGGGTGTCAATAACATGTCGGCCTCCCAATTTTCTCCCACTGGGTTCTCAGAGTTGTTTCTCGCCGCTGCAGGACGGTCTAAGGACAGTGGTGATGATCCAGGACACTTGACATTCAACGACATTTGTGGACTTAATCAACATTTACGGACATTGCTCATCCACCCCTTTGTGCTTTATGCAGAATGCCATCTTTTAAAAAACTTGTTTACAGTGATTATCGACATCAACATGTGACTCGGCAGGTTAGCTCCTGGAGTTTTAGTTGCTGATAAAGTTGAGCGGTATGAGCAGAACAGTTTTGTTTCGGGTTAGGGTTTAGAGCAGGGGTGGCCAACCAGTCAGAGACTAAGAGCCATTTTTTTTACTTTGTTACAGCAAAGAGCCACATCATACAAATGTGCGCTACATAAACATCACCCCATCCCTTACACACGCACACACACGCGCACGTACGCACACGAGCAGAGACACGCACACACATGCAACCTGTCTGAGCAGAGAGAGGTGTGCTCTGCTCAGATAGATGTAAATGTCATCAACATGATAATGACAGAAATTGACTCGTACAGTACTAAAGGGCTGGACTCGACTCTCCCCGGTTTGCGGGCCACCGCTCGCTTCAGCCGCTCCCCGGTACTTTTTATTGATGGTTCGGCCCTGGTTCTAACCGGGCGAGTCGATACCAGAACAATTGCACGTCAGCGAACATCAATTATGATTCCGAAATGAATGCTTTCAATCTCTAACCAAGAAAAAAAAATCAAGTTTAAACCCAGTATTCAGCAGAAACACAACTGTCTTTATCGAACCATGATTCACTCTCTGACTGTATTTAGTAAAAGATATAAATTTGACACATAACACCAACACCACTTTAGTTGATTTAGAACCACAGACACATGCTCAGTATAAGACCAGATACTTTTGCATTTGATTGAAGACAGACACTCACCAGGCAGAGTTGGCTTATCTCCTGGTGTAACGCTAGCTGGTGTTAGCTGGTTTTAGCATGTTAGCCGGTGTTAGCCGGTGTTAGCCGATGTCCGTAAATGTAATCCATTTGGTCAAACCACCTCCAGACTTTTCGGGTCTGCCTCTACTTCTGCTGCTGCGATCTTTCATTTCACGGTTGTCACTTTTAAGCTTTTTAACTTTTCTCTGCATTGTCATGTTTGTGGGAATCATTCTGCTCCGTCCTTAGCGCTAGCTCCACAAACACCTTCTGGTTTCTGGTGGAACCATCGAGCTCACGCTGGTGTCCTCTCCTCAAACTGAGGAAGGAGTTGCCCTCATCCAGCGACCAAGGAACTGTTTTCCGTACGGACGCCATGGGTCGAGGCAACGTGTTGTTTGTTATGATATTTAACAGCTGAGGCAGCGGCTGCAGAGTGGTTGACAGCGCATCTGACCAATCAGAATTGACGTTCGCCGACGTCAGATTGTTTTGGTGGCCTGGCTAGTGGAGTGAAGTCGGCCTTTACTATGGGTCAGAACTACATAGAGAATGAATGGCAGCGCCACCACCGAGGCGTTTTTGACGCTTGTCGTGTGAAAGCCCGAGAGCCGCACGGAACCAGCCAAAGAGCCGCATGCGGCTCACGAGCCGCGGGTTGGCCACCCCTGGTTTAGAGTTTAGGGTTAGGATTCCAGTTGGTTGGAATCAGCTGTTTATAGCATCAAGGGAAAATACATTTAAAAAAAATGAATGAATGTTTAAGGATGATGTGAAGTGCATTATTTTGTACTGTAAGTGTTTTTTATACTGTATGTTTGAAAATGTTGTGTTATTTTAGTTGACCCTGTTTGGAGTGGACTCGAGGAAGACTAGCGACCACTTTTGGAACCTAATGGTGATCCAAAAATTAAATAAATAAATGGTCCAATGGCTCAATGTGTGTGTGTTTTTTGCATATGACGCGAGGCTGCGCCTAATTTAGGATGGATTTCTAATTTTGTGCACGCTGCAACGCGTCTCCAAGTCAAAACACATAGGAAATGCACACACGGAGGAGCAGCAGGTTTTACAGTGTTCTGGACATTGTTTTTTTTTCATTCATAAAGTCCCGTGTCTGGTCAGACCAGCGCACAGAGACCATGAAGACAAACACATGCATGTGATTTGTGTTGCTCTACATCAGTCCTCTGTACTGTCCTCTACACTGCTCCATAGACTACACAGGGACCAGCTTCAAAAGCCGCGGACCTGCGCACAGGCCAGTGTAGATACAGCCGAGTATGTGCGCATAAGGCAAGGCAAGTTTATTTATATAGCACAATTCATTCACAAGGCAATTCAAAGTGCTGAACAAAACAAGAAAGCATTAAAATCATAAATAATCACAGAACATAAAAAGAAAGATAAAATATAAAATACCCTCAGTTGTATGCACAGCTAAACAGAACTGTCTTTAACCTGGTTTTAAACATTGTCATTGAGGAGGCCTGTCTCACATCTTCAGGAAGACTGTTCCAGATTTTAGCAGCATGAATCTGAAAAGCAGCCTCCCCATGTTTAGTTTCTGACTCTGGGCACTAACAGGAGTCCAGTCCCTGTGCTCCTCAGAGTCCTGGTTCATTGTGGGACTAACCATGTCAACTAATATATTTTGGTGCGAGGCCATATGGAACAATCAGTCTATTCAGCGCCCCCCCCCCCCCCCCCCCCCCCCCCCCCCCCCCCCCCCCCCCCCCCCCCCCCCCCCCCCCCCCCCCCACCAAGATATTTTATCCCTGTTGGAGCCCAGTTTGAAACTTGATGTATCATGACATTGAGCGTAATTAAATGTTGTTAGTGGAATGATTTCACTTTTATCATAATTAACTTTATATCCTGACACTGTACCATAGGAATGAAGCAGAGTTTGTAGTCTAGTAAGGGACTGAGACGGATCTGTAATATACAACATGACGTCATCGGCCAGAAGGTTAATCTTATGTGTATCTCCACCAACACTGACGCCTTTGATGTTTGGGTCCTGTCTGATCGCCTCCGCCAAAGGCTCAATAGCCAAAACAAATAGGGCGGGAGATAGGGGGCAGCCTTGTCTGCTCGATCTTTGTAAGGGAAAGGATGATGAAATTATCCCATTAGTTATAATTCGGGCTTTGGGATTATAGTATAGAGTCTTCACCCAGTCAATAAAATATTGTCCAAAACCAAATTTCTCCATTACCTTAAATAAATACGGCCATTCCAGCCTGTCAAAGGCCTTTTCGGCGTCCAATGCTACTGCCACCATTGGGTCAGACCGATGTTGTGACAGATGAATAATGCTGAAAAGCCTACTTAAGTTATTTGCTGACAAGCGTTTCTGAATAAAGCCACACTGATCAGGATTAACAATTTTAGGTAAAACTTGACTAAGACGATTCGCTAACAATTTGGAAATCAGTTTGTAATCAGCATTCAGCAGAGAAATAGGCCGATAGGAGGAGCATTTTAATGGGTCTTTATTCTTTTTTAGTATTACTGTGATTATGGCTGTAGTGAAGGATTCAGGGAGTGTATGTGTTTTCAACGCTAGTTGTGTTACATCCAAAAACAGTGGAATGAGCATGTCCTTAAATTCCTTATAAAATTCCACTGGGAAACCGTCCTCTCCAGGGGCCTTATTTGGCTGGAGGGAATTTAAGGTTTTAGCTATTTCTGTTTGGGTGAATGGAGAATCCAGTCTTTGTTGTTCTTCTTCGCCAATTTTAGTAAGTTCAATTTTGGAGAGGAAATTGTCAATTTGCGTCAGATCATGAGGAAGTTCAGATGTATACAAATTTGAATAAAAACTTTTAAAATTATCATTTATCTCTTCTGGGCTATATGACGTGTTCCCAATGTCGTTCTGAATTGCGTTGATGGTTCTGCTACTTTCCTCAGCTTTCAATTGCCATGCTAATATTTTATGTGCCTTCTCTCCCAATTCATAGTATCTTTGTTTTGTCCTTAAGATATCCTTTTCAATCTTATAAGTGTTCAATGTGTTGTATTGAGTTTTTTTCTGGATTAATGACTGATAAATGTCCTTCGAGCCACTGCCTTGAAAGTCTTTTTCCAAGTTTGAAATATCTACCTCCATCTTTTCTATTTCTGCTGTGTACTTCTTCTTAAGGCCCTTTGTATAAGAGATTATTTGTCCTCTTAGGTAGGCTTTTAACGTGTCCCAAAAGATAAAGCTATTGGGCGAGGAAGGACTATTTGTTTCACAAAACAACTGTATCTGACCCCTAACATATGAGCAGAAGTCTGGTCTCTGAAGAAGAGTAGAGTTAAGCCGCCATCGATATGGTCTTCTAGGCATATCGGGAAATATGATTGAGAGAGTCAGTGGTGAATGATGAGACAGTAACCGAGGTAAATATTCTGTATCTAACACTCTATGGAACAAATGGGAAGAGGACAAGAATAGATCTATTCTGGTGTGTGAATTGTGGGGGCATGAGTAAAAGGAATAGTCCCGAGTTTGAGGGTGCATATGCCGCCAAACGTCCATTAGATTTAAGTCCTTCATAAAAGAGTGAGTAATGTTAGCAGCTTTAGACTTCGATATTACCATAGACGATTTGTCTAAGGCTGGATCCAAACAAAAGTTAAAGTCCCCCCCAATTAGTAAATTGCAATGCCCTCCAGAAAGTTTGAGAAATACGTCTTGCATAAATGAGTCATCATCGTAGTTGGGAGCGTAGATATTGAGGAGCGACCACTGCTCAGAAAATATCCTACAGTTTACTAAGACATATCGTCCAGAAGGATCAACGATAGTATCGATCACTTCCAAAGGAGTATTCTTCCTGAGCAGTAACGCCACTCCCCTGGCTTTTGAGTTGAATGAGGAGGATATAACCTGCCCCACCCATTCACGCTTTAATTTATTATGTTCTTCAGAAGTAAGGTGAGTCTCTTGGATAAAAGCAATATCTACCTTTAACTTTTTCAAATAAGTCAGGACTCTTTTCCTTTTGACAGGCCCATTCAATCCGTTTACATTAAAACTGACAAACTTCAGGACCCTATCCATACAATTCTGTTACATATAAAATTACCTGACCTTTTAAAACTGTGACAATGAGGAAAGTGTTTGTAAAACATTATAAATAGGCACGTGTGTGAGCATCTGAAAACTAACAAACAAACAAAACCCAGAACAAAAATAAAAGTGAGCATAATTCCCCTCAGTGCCGCTCCTGGAACATGCGGCACAGTTCCCTTCCTTCTAAACGGTCTTCTCATCGTGAACAACGTTCTCTACTCTCTGGGGGCTCTCCGACATGTTATATTGTCTCAAACATTCTTAAACTGAGTATGAATATATGCGGATACAAGATAATAATAGAAATACCTTCAAGTCCAGTATGAAGAACATAACCGTGGACATATGGTAACACAGTGGCATGGTGCAATAGCGGGCAGCCCAACTATTCCTTTAGAAAAGCTGCTGCTTCTCCCGGTGTTTGGAAGATTTTCCGTTTCCCATCGGCGAGCAATATCCTCAGGGTTGCAGGATGTAATAGTGAGTACTGTATATTCCTGGAGCGCAGCTCTCTCTTCACATGGTCGAACTCCTTACGCCGCTTCACCAGGTTCGGACTTAAATCAGGGAAAAACATAAGAGGTCTGTCCTCGTACGTTATAGGACTCTTGTTTTCCTTGTATCGCTTTGCAGCAGTGCGTAGTATTTTCTCCCGATCTTGGTAGTTCAGCAGCCGGATCAGCACAGGTCTGGGTCTCTCGCTTGCGGATGGTTTCGGACCGAGTGTTCGGTGCGCTCGCTCTATCATGAGCGGTCCCGCAAACTCCTCACGAGTATGATTGGGAGCCAGTTGGTAAAAAAAGCCACTGGGTCATTACCTTCACAACCTTCCCGCAGGTTTAGTAAACGAATGTTGTTGCGCCTGCTGTAGTTCTCGAGTGAGTCAACTTTATCCATTAAGAATGTCTTGTCTTTTATAAGTTTGGCCACCTGGGCGCTCACGTCACTCAGCTCATCCTCCACTGCTCCTATGCGGTCCTCCGTTTCGTTAACACGGGACTTTAAACCATCGAGTGCTGTCTTTAGCCCCGAGATAGACTGGTTGATCTCTGTCGTGTGTTTGTCCAGTTTGTCACTCAGGGCTTGATTCCCGGACCGAATTTCCTGAAGCAAGAGCGCGATGTCCATAGGTGGCGCGGTGTGCTCGTGCGCCATGTTGCTAGCTTCTTGATGCAAATCTTCGTCGTAACTCGGTAAAACATCCATAACTGTTGAGCAAGATGGCTTATTTTTAGATCTCAGATCCATCCTCCCGTTAAGGAAGCAAGTTATAGGGAAACGAAGTTGATCCGAATGTTTTTGATGGTTGATATGGATAAATTATCGGAGAGCCTCCAAACTAGCGTCTGGCTGCTATCGCTGCATCACGTGACCCCGAGCTATTTCATTGTTGCAACTTTCAGAGCCTGCAGAACATGCAGAGCTTTAAGGGATTTTTCCTAAAAGGATCCATTTCAAACTTTAGTGTTTAAACCACGTGGTCTTTACTCGGGCTTCTCACAGACTGTGTCCCCTAAAGTTTAAAGAGCTCCTATTGTTACTTCTAGACTCGTGCACGTGCTACAAATGTTCTTCCCTTTTTCAGTAAAGCCAGTTCGGATTCATTAAAAAATGTAAATTAATTTCAAACTTTAATACTTCACCTTTGTTTCACGTTCATGTGGAGAAAAGACTATTATTGTACGTGTACTAACGTACTTGCACCAATCATGTCTCAGATAAACTGCGAACAGTTGTATCAAAGACATAATTGTCCTAATTGTTTCTAATTTAGCTATTTGGAAGAGAAACATGTCATAAAAGATTTCATAAAATGTTTCTACATCCGTGTTTTCAACCAATGGACCGTGGTGCGTTAGTGTACCATCAAAAATGGTCCAATATCACCTCTAACCATGATTTAGAAATACTCTATATTATTTTTCAAACTTTGATTGTCTGAACAAACCACTTTTTACCAAATGCAACGTCAATTAAAGGCTGCAGTTCTCTTTCCAGCACCAGTTTCAACTGTGCATGTGACTGTTTTAAATGAGAAACGAGCCCCGGTTCAGAGGTTGAAAAAATTGCGTTAAATATCCGTATTACCAAGATCATGCAGTCAAAATCAATAATTCTAAACTTCTCCGCGTCTATAACTTTAAATAACAATAATAGTTTTAATAATAAAACTCATCTAAATCATGCACAAATATACTGCTGTTCTAATCTTCTTGTGTCTCATTCTAGAGTAAGAGTCTAATAATTTTGACTATTGGCTTGTAATCATTCATGCAGTTAAATGTAGTGTTATGAACGAATGACCTAAATGTGTAAATATGACCTAAATGTCCTTAATGTCTTGGTGCGTTTGTTGCCCGTCTGTATATATTTACCTTCTGTCTGTTTCATTCAGCTCGGCCACCCCCAAATGTTTGTTAATGTCTCTTTCTTCTTCTCATATCGTCTTTCAATTGTCTTTGTCTCATAGTGTCCAATGTCCTTGTCTCAATGTCTTTTTCTTCTTCTTTCAATCTTTTTCTTCCGATAACTTTTTCTCATATCTGACGCACACAAGTGTGTCGTGTCCTTCTTCTTCTTGTTAGGTTTTTCCGGCGGGTGGCGGCCTATTTTTCGCATTACCGCCACCTTCTGTTCCGTGGATGGGTCAACACTCAGTTTGTGAAAAGTCTGTGGTCTTGTCACTCCCGTATTCGTCCCGGAAACCGGATTCGTCCGGAAGTTCAGTTTGCGCATGTCAAAAAGTTTAATATGTCCTTAAGTGGAGACTGGTTAAGTTTAGGCGTCTGATTAAGATGGTTAAGTTTAGGGTTAAGGCTGGGTTTGGGTTATTTTATGGGAATGGCTGGTTAAGTTTAGGCATGAATAGGTAGTTTTTTTATATTTACTGCCGCTTCCGTCCAGATTCCGTGACGTAATCTACTGCTGCGTTTGCTCATTGGATCAAACTGAACTTCCGGACGAATCCGGTTTCCGGGACGAATACGGGAGTGACAGTCTTTTTTTTGCCATGCTGTTAGAAATGGAGGCTGGAGAAGTCTTCTTCGAATGTTCTTGTTAGCTGCTGCAGCCGATACTGCTGTTGTTGGTGCCCCATGTGGGTCGGGGGAGACGCTGATGGTCCGTTTTTAGTAGATGCTCAGTTGAGGCTTGTGGTGGGGACTGTTTTGGCCAATGAAACAGACAGAAGTTTTCCTCAGATCAAACAGACAAACAAGAAGCACAAACGAGTGTGTTAATACCATACAAAACCAATGATTAATTACAAATCAAAATAAACCTATGACATAATTAATATTAACATTTTAAACATTAGATTCTGAAAACCGAATTCTGCATTCAACTGCTATCCTAAGCCCTATTTTTCCAAAAGTATAATGCTCTCTAAGATCATTCTAACTTTTATATCACCAAAATGTAGGGAAAAAATGTTTAATACCTTTTTCTAGACGCCTTGGAGATAAAAAATAAAATAATGCCTCTTTATAATCTAACTCAAAGTTCTGTGATCATATGACTCCATGTCAGTAACATTATTGTGTGTATAAATGTAATTTTCTACAACAAATATATATTTGGTAATAGTTCTGTCTTTGAGAGAGAGAGAGAGAGAGAGAGTGAGTGGAAGGGGAGGGGCTGAGTGGCCTCTCGAACAAAGGAAAACATGGACGATTGAAATACATCCTCCTGTTAGCTACATTTTCCTCGTTTTTATCGTGACAAGGTTTTAATCAGTGTTAGGAGTTCTTCTCACGTCAAACGACACTTTACATTTTATCCTTAAATACGTCAGTAATGAAAACATTACCATTTGTCTACATGACTAATGTATCAATAGTTACCGCAGAATCTCTTTTTTTTTTTGATTCTCTGTAACTATTAAACATTACATCAGAATAAGAGAAAAACTCCCAGAACTGATCATTCTGGTCCTTTCTCCACATGAAACTCGACAGCCAAGTGGCTCTCTTTTTTCCTCATTAATCAGATCATTATTATTCAATATACAGAATCCACATTTTAAATACTCTGCTTTTTGTTTAAATTAAATGTACCCTTTTTCCCGCCCCCCGGGGGATATAGAAGGTTTTATTATCCTGTTCTGACCCTAAAGCTGTCCCTATTTCTAATTCTATTCCTATTTTCACTATACTTGTGCCTCTCTGCACTTTAAAGCGTTGTGCCTCTTTTGCACTCTAAACTCTGTGGACTTTCTCTTCTCCCTTCTATTTTTTTAGAGAGAGACCAACTCTTCCCTCAAGGTTAAAACGTCGAAACCTAACTATTGTTTTACCGCGTCCGATAAAACGCCCATCACGGCGGTCTGTCCACACTGCAGTCTGTCGAGCCGAATTCTCTCTCTCTTCCATTTAAAACAATGTGCAGATTTTCAAAAGTATGATCCGCTTACCTCTTTCGAAGAGAAGAGAGAATTTTCCCGGCCCACGGACCCAGTCTATATCTGAGCTCATCTTGCGTCTTCTTTCTGTATCAAATCACGTCTCGGGGTCACCATTTGTGGGTCAAAAAAGATTTGACTGACGTGTTCAAAATTTGGTACAGAAATCAGACGAAGATATCCAAGTTTAACATCTGTATTTAATTTATCTTGACAATCAGATACAGAACATTCAAACGAAAGAGAGCTCCTAAAACTATGCTATGCTGTCCCTCTCTCGCCCTGTGCTGACTGACCTCAAAAGCCTTCAGGGAGGTCATACAAGGGAGACTTCCGATGAGTCATCCATATGCGCCCAACGTGGGGCTTCCGGGTGTGCTGACGTCCCTTGTCCACTGGGAGGCGTCAGAATGCCGTTGGTGAATCTCCCAGTCTGCCTGGGAGACCAGGCCCTGAACTCCTGCCCTCGCCAAAATGTTTATTATTTAAAGTTAATAATTCGCCTTAGTTTAAACAGCATTTTATCTTTATGACTCATATCTGACTATCCTGTGTCCTTGAGACTCAAGAGAACAGGTCCTGTTTGGCTATGATGAGAATCAGGACCATCGTTCAAAATGGTCAATTTATTGTCACATCTGTTCAGAGTATATTTTAAAATATACAACAGCAAGAATTCCAGTCTCTCGATGTGCAAAACTGATAGAGACATACCCCAAGCGACTTGCAGCTGTAATTGCAGCAAAAGGTGGCGCTACAAAGTATTAGCGCAAGGGGGCCGAATAATATTGCACTTCCCACTTTTCAGTTTTTTATTTGTTAAAAAAGTTTAAATTATCCAATAAATTTCACTTTTAATGCAATTTGAGGCGAGATGTTGATGGTTCTGTATTGTCACATGTGGGTTTTAAGAGTCACAGTTTAGTGTAAAGTTTAGTTTTAGCAGTCACCTACGCCTGTGAAACCACAATGCTAATGTTATGATAGCAGTCTGCAGCTGCTGACGTAGGCTGATGACGCGTCCTGTGGCAACTCTAGCTTACAATTGGTCTGTCGGGTTGATAATGGAAATAATACATTTAATTTCAGATTCAGATTCAGATTCAGATTACTTTATTTACCATTGTGCAAAACACATAGGAATTTGACTTGGCAACATGACAGTGTGCATTCAACTTTTTTTTTTTTTCACATATAATTTAACAAAAAGTGCAAGAGATATAAATAGAATAGTGTATTAAAGTGCCTTAGTGTTCAGTCCTTGTTCCTAGGGGGCAAGGGAAGAAGGGAAACCAGCGTCAGTGAGCAGCCTGGCCGCTGAGGGGAAAAAACTGTTTTTGTAGCGCTCTGTCTTAGCCCCCAGGTGCTGCATCCTCCTCCCAGAGGGGAGCAGGGTGAGGAGGCTGTGACCAGGGTGGGAGGGGTCAGCCATGATCTTTCTCGCCCTCCTTAATGCATGTATCGTGCTGTATTCAATATGATTAACAATAGTGTGTTCAAACGAAATATTTAATTAGATCGAGTTTTTCCCCATTTTCCATTATCAACCCGACAGACCAGTTGTAAGCTGTAGAGTTGCCACAGGACGCGTCATCAGCCTACGTCAGCAGCTGCGGACTGCTATCATAACATTAGCATTGTGGTTTCACAGGCGCAGTTGACTGCTTAAACTAAACTTTACACCAAAAAAAATGAAATAAAATCTTTGTAGGTGTATTTTCTCTTATAAATAGACAGTATCTTTCCCAAAGTCTTCATTTGTGATCGACACACCGCCGGCCAGCGATGATGGTAGAAACAAGAAAAA